TATATATATATATATATATTAATCTCCACAAACCCTAATCCTATCCTTCTATTGCCTCATAGGTCGTTCACGCTCTGAATTTTGTGGAGAGAAAGAACACCATGTCTCACTTCGGAAGGTCCGGTCCCCCTGACATCTCAGACACCTACTCCCTCCTCGTTCTCAACATCACCTTCCGTAAGTGCTTCATATTCATATGCTTTTGGGTTTCATCAATTGATCTCGTAGATGTAATGTTTGTTGTCGATTTTGAAATTGATTAGGTACAACTGCTGATGATCTATTTCCGCTCTTCGATAAGTACGGGAAGGTCGTCGACATATTCATTCCCAAAGATCGGAGGTTTGTTTTCCCTTGTCCTCTTTCTCCTGTTTATTGTTTCATTTATTGATTTATTTATTATTATTAGTTTTTTTTTTTTTTTTTGTAATTTTCCGGTCGATTGCGGAGGATTGGAATGGTAGCAAAAGTAACAGCTTGATTTGTGTTTGTTGTTCATGTTATAATTTTATTTGGTTGATCATCTCTAGGAAGAAGGACATTTAAGCAGTTGGTTCCCAAATAAGTACCTCTGATTTTCAGTTTTATATATATATATATATATTATTTTTAGTTTGTATTTTTTTTTTTTAAATTCTCTGGTTTTTCGGAGGTCAGAGGTTTATTGTTTTTCTTCTGAAGAAAGCTTTAATGGTTGATGGCTTGATGGAGTTTGTCTTTGCCATCCCCTCCCCCCTTTTTTTTTTGTGTTAACGTTCCTACATGGGGAGGGAGGTTGCGTTTGTTTGCATCACATCTTATTGTAGTATTGCAGAGATAATTTGGTCAATATAACTAAGCATTAGTTTGTTCTATTGGTGTTAAGATTATTAATTTTTATTCTTTCTAGTGTTTGTGTGTGTGAACTTTTTCCTTACATTTCTTGTTGGGTAATATTTGTGGTTGCTACATGTGTAGGACTGGTGAATCCAGAGGATTTGCTTTTGTTCGCTATAAGTATGCAGATGAGGCACAGAAGGCAGTGGATAGACTGGATGGTATACTTATTTTTTTTATCTGCTTGTGCATATAGCGAGATAAGTATTTGAATGTGTATTGACAAGCTTGTGTTCACGTGACATATTGGCACATTTTTGTCCTGTATGCAAAGTATATATTTGTTGCTACACTTAGTTCTCTGTGGGGAGTACTCTTTAGTATGATGTGTTTTGGGGAGTATGATCAACTGGCATTTTTCCCGTTGTGCAGGGAGAGTTGTTGATGGTCGGGAGATAACGGTTCAGTTTGCGAAATATGGACCTAATGCAGAGAGGATGTAAGTTATACACCAGGCCTTTTCATTTTGCCCATTGTTGAATGTTTGTAGACTAAAATTATGCGCTGGAGTGTAGATTTTTTCTTAAATACGAGTTTGTTATTAATTTCTCCTCTTCTATGTTTTTAAAGTTAGGATGCTCATGTCTTTGTCCTCTTTAAGATGTTGAGCTGTTTGTTTTAAGGTCTCCAATGGCATATTGAATTTTGATTTCTGTTACAGTCACAAAGGAAGGATAATGGAACCATTTCCAAGGTCAAGATACAGGTCAAGAAGTCGCAGCCCTCGCAGAAGGTAAGCTCATTTTTCATCTTCTTTCTTGTGATGGCAGATCCTTTTAAGAATCTTCTTCTATCTTTAGATGCCCTGTTATTGGCAGTTGGAGATTGTATTAAGATCCTTGGGCAGGGGATGTGGACTGTGTGCCTGTTTTGTATTCATAAAGAGAATTTATCATTGTAAGATGAAAAATGTGTCACACATGGTATACTGTTAGTTGAGTGGGTTATCATTAAATTTTTTCATGTCTAGGGTGCAAATCAATATGTTATGATCAATTGAATTAGTGGCCTTGTATTTTTTTTTTTTTTTGTTACATCATTCTTAGATCGTATTTCTTGGTTTTGAAAGTTTCTCTAGATTTTGCTGTAATTTGGTCATGCAAGAATCTATCTGGGCTTGTTTGTTAAATAAACATAAATGGTTTCAGTACTTGAATGTTTAAATTTGTCACTTGCTAGATGGCATTTAGATCTTGATGATTAACTTTCTTCTGTGGTTTGGCTGTGATTTATTTTTGGCAAGTTGCTTCATTTATATTTGCATGTTGTCTTTTTTAAGTTTGAGCACCTAGCTGTATCTTCTAAATGTGTGGAATTAACAATGTTTTCTCTTCTTAAGGTACCGGGATGACCATTATAGAGATAGGGATTACAGGAGGAGGAGTCGCAGTAGAAGTTTTGACAGGTATGAACGTGATAGATATCGTGGAAGGGAAAGAGACTATCGTCGGCGAAGCAGGAGCCGCAGTGACAGCCCTGATTACTCTAGAGGCCGGGGAAGAGGACGTTATGATGATGATCGGAGGAGCAGTAGTCATTCAAGAAGGTTAAGATGATGCAACTGGTTATGTTTCTTTCTTTCTTTTTTCCTTCCCCCTGAGCTCATTTCATTGCCCTCTGCTAAAATTGCAGTGCCTCTCCTCGGCGCAGCCGTAGTTCCCAGAAGAGTCCTTCTCCACTTAAGGGTTCTCCTCCTAGGGGGGAAAGTCCTGACAGACGCAGCCGTGATGGAAGGTCTCCAAGCCCTCGTAGTGTTTCACCTCGAGGTCAGCCTGTTAATTCTCGAAGTCCATCTCCTCGAAATTCAGATGCTGATGTGAGTCATTGGATTCCTTGCTCTTTTTCCTTCCATTTTAATTTTTCCTAGCAAAATTTCAATACTTAAATATACCTTCAATTTGTATCATGTAGGAATGATTCTTTCCAGCTGCGTGGGAGTTCGTGGACTTGGTGCACTAAATAGCATGTTTCTTGTTGCTTAGTTTCTCTTGTTGAAGACATAGATCATGCATTTTCTAGTATTGGTAGGACTGGGTTTCTTTGGAGTCTAAATGCTTATGGTACCATTCTGAACTTTATGTCTTTGTCACTTACCTGTTGCAGTTTAGTGTCTGGAGTCATGTCGTCTCTTATTTCTGTACCTAAAGATTTTGTGATGTAACTTTGTAGTTGTGGTGGTGTGCTTTCCTTTTTCTGATTTTAATCCTTCCTTTTCTGTTGCTTATATCATCCTCAAGGCTTGTTTTCAAAAATGCACCATTTAAAACAGTGATTTATGACTTGCATAATAGAGTTCATTTTCTAGGGTTACTGATTAATCTTAAACCATCTATTGGGTTTTTATAGTTTTGTTCGGGAAAGAGTGACTTGGGGCAGATGGACTTGATGTGACATGATGTTGATTGTGGCTGTTGATGCTGTTTGTATCTGTAGATGCATGATCGTGATATTGATGCTGGTTATAGCAGTATGCTGATTGCAGGGACAGTAATTTAACCAATTTTTTTTCTGAATGATATGATTGGTAAGATCCAAAGCGAGTCTTGGTTTTTGCAAAACCTTGCATCATCAAGGTTCTAATGTTTCATCTGATTATCCTGGTCTGCTTATTGCTTATTCTAAAATTTGCCCTAAGCGGTATTTGCTGAGATGGTATAAAAGATTGAGCATGGTGAACAAATTTTTGACTGAGATGATAGCATGATGCTGCATTTCATGGGCGTGAGATGCATTTGATCTGATGCAGATGCTATATGTGAGAACGTAATGTGCTCATCCTATCCTTACATCTATGTTAATTAAAAAAAAAGTAACTTGCCTCTATTTAGTTATTTGTTTCGGAAATTTCAATCAATAAGCAAATTTAACCTCGCCATGTTGCTTAATGTTGTGAGTTTTAGCAAGTATGTCCGTGACCGATGCTGTGAAGTGGTGGTAGATGCCAAATTTTTTGTAAGATAAAAGTGGTTCGTGGTTAACCATGGAGTAACTGAGTAATAGCCAGCTGCCTAGCTTGTTGCTGGTTTGCTTGTAGCAGGCTGTTGCTGCCCTCTACTGGGTCATCAGTAATGGTACGACTGGTTTTGGTGTGCTTGTCATTTGTGATTCATGCTAGTAAAGTAGTGCTCTCAGTTTATAATTTAGTCCACTTTTGTGTTTTACATTCGCCCTGAAAGATATAGTGAAATAAAGTGAGAACCAATTTTTTGCAATATGCTTTGATGATGTCATAACCTGGAAGAATTGTTATTGAGGGTTTTTATTATGGAAAAGTATTTGTCAGCTGGACTTCTAAAATGTTGGAGGAAAAAAATCTTAAAAATTCTTATTGAAAAAGTCTAAAATAATTTATTTTTTAATAAAAAAGGGGTGTTTTAGACTCGTTCTATAGTGTTTTATTGAAATAATTTTAAAGTGTTTTTCTTTTTAATTTTTTAGATGTCTAGTTGATAAATATTAATTGTTATCCCAAAAAATCGTGTAAACACTAATTTTTTAAAATATATTATATATGGTGAAATGTATTTGTCAATTGGATTCCAAAAAATTAGAAAGAAAGACTTTAAACCTTTGTTGTTTTAATAAAACTCATTGAAAAGGACAAATAACCTATTTTTAAATCATTAATAAGGCTACTTTGATATTTTCTTATAGTGTTTTAATAAAACAATGTAGTGTGGAGGTGTTTTTCTTATTATTTTTTTAGGTCTAGTTGACATACTAGAGAATGCAGAAAATTAATACGTTATGACATTAAAAATATTAGGATATTCAATCAAAACAATATGATAAGTAAGATACAATTCATGCCCCCACTTAAATTATGGTTGGATTGAATGTCTCGATATTATATTTTTAATGATTGGGTGTTTTGATTTTTATTTTTTTAATATATATATAGGAGGGATTTACTTAAATACAAATTTTACATATTATATTTATATAATTTTAATCATTTGTCTTTTTATTTTTAATGTTGAGATTTATCATGATTTTTTAAGTAAAAAATTATTTTTAATAAATATAATAAAAAATAAATAAATCTCAACTATTAAAAATAAAGAGATGAATGGTGAATATTTTGTATGAGTATAGCGTGTAAAATTGTTATGTAAATGGATCTTTACTTATATATATATATATAGTTTCATTTATTTTATATACCATTGCTCCTCAAGGGTTGGCTACCCTGTTCACATTTTGTTGTTGCTTTGAATCTACCACGGGTTAGAATTGGTTTTAATAAAGAAGTGGAATTGTTTGTGGTTTATTTTCTGTAGTTTGGATGAGATGTTGCTGCCTTTATGTTACCCAGTTTTTGCTGCATGTATAACTTTGGTCACCGTTACGCATTGGTTTGTGTTAATGTAACGGTTTAATCATTTGAAGGATTATGTTTGCCTTCGCTCCTGTGACAGTCTTTATTGGTGTAACGAAGGATCATAGGTGTTGCTAACGGTAATGGAGGAAGTTGTTTGAAACTAGATGGTAAGAAATATTTTCTTAGATGTACTCTAGAGTTTGAAATAATAATGGTCCAACCCAAGTATGGAACAATAAAAATATTGAAATGTTAGCTATAATTGTGTCATAAAAATGGTGAAATTCTATGTTAAGCCTTCAAACTTATTTTAAATTTTCAATTATGTTCTTCGAGTTTTATTAAATCAAATAAACTATTGAACTCAATAATTTACATAATTTAACATTTGGTTTATGGTGAACTTAATTTGGATAAGGTTAATAATTGCTATGTAGGTAATGACGTCGTAATATCTTGGTCATGCAAGCGAGGCATAAAGAGGTATATTAAGTTCACTGTAAAAAGAAAAGGTATATTAAGTCTACTGTAAAAAGGAAATGGTTAAATTGCCCAAATTATGAAGGTTAAGGGTTTATTAGCTTTAATAAAAGTTAGGGGTTTAATAAAAAATCAAAGATAAGTTTCTGGGCTTAACCTAGGGTTCTGCCCATTAAAATTGAAGAAAAATTTATTATTATAATGAGCCTAAAAGTGGCACCTGGTTCTTTGGGTTGATCGGTATCCTGTCAATTTGAGGTGTATTTTTTCTCTCTCATGGGCGGGTTTTGAGCTCGTCCATTGACAATTTGTTCAAAAATAAGATAAAATAAAATAATGAGTCTAAAAGTGGCTTAGGACCAAGATGTGGGTATTTATATTTTAGGTGAAACCTCCAAACTTACCCTTCAAATAAGAGGGTGGAAACAAATCCTCTTAAAAAAATTATAAGAACAAATTATCTATTTAAATTATTGATTAAAATAAATTATTTATGATTTATGTGTGATGTTATAATATGTCAGTTTTCTGTTAAAAACTAGTTGGGTAACACAAATTTTTGATATATAATGATGTTATATGTTAAAAATAAACAATGTATATTAATCGATAATTTTTAACAAATAATGTATATTAATCGATAATTTAAATGAGTAATTTATCTTTTCATTTTTGAGATAAATTTGTTTAACATTTTATTAAAGGGGGTGAATTTGAGGTTTTACCTATATTTTATTTTATTTTATTTTATTTTATTTTATTTTATTTTATTCTATTTTTGGGTTTCCCCATCACAGCACCTTCCCCTTGCTACTTCTGAGCAGCAAACCGTACCAAATCTACACTTATCCACAGTTGATGGTCAAAATAACAAGAGTTCGTCCAGATGACTTCTTAAGTTCAAGTCTTCCAAAAATTCTCTAAAGTTTATAAACTGTGTACGATTGATTGTCAGCACAGACGTACTCCAATCTGACCACCAAAATAGTAGATGATTTTTGGCATGAGGAATACGAGGCAGCTTGAGAAACGCACGAAAATTATGGGGCTAAATGCGCAAATCAACCTCCAATATTTTTTAGATGAAGCAAATCGCTACCAATATACATATATTTTGAAGCAATTTATCACCGCCACTCAATTTTGAGTCGATTTTTGAAAATAAAAATTTAAGATGATAAATTACTTTTAACAATTTTTTTAAGTAATAATTTATTTCAACATGATAATTTTAAGGGAAAATTTGCATCTTTTATCAAAATTATGGACCGATGCACAAACACTCCGAGAGAAATTAAAAAAAAAAAAATAAGATTTATGAAAACCAAAATAAAAAATTTAAAACCATAACCAGGCTATTAAAACAATAACTATATTGGACAAAGCTGCATAAAAGTGTGGACAAGAAGTCATTGAAAAATTCTCGTTCTTTGATCTTCATGTCAAGTTGATGCTCCCACAAATCCAATGATAAAATAAAAAAAAAAAAAAAGGTTAAATGTTAGAGGCATCACAGTTGAATATTAGAGAGTGACAAACATAAGTTCTCAACCTTATAAAAATTTCCCTAGATTTTGTAGTGCTAGCTTTCCAGAAAAACCCACATTTCCCCCTTTTTTTAGGGGGGTCGTTGTGTTCAAATTTATTCCAAATGTGCTAGGATGTAAATCATCTCTCAAGTGTGCAACCTCTCCACAAGGTTAATATGTCACACCATTCACGCCTTATATCAGAAGACTAGTAGAAGACCTTTACTACAAATCAAACCATTTTACTTTCTTACATTCAGATTTTAAGAGAATAGAGCATAGGATCGGATCCATTATTTGAGAAACATAATATTTCATTTTTAAATAAGAGCTTCCTTGGCGAAGAGACCTAATTAATTAAGCAAGGGCCAAGATCCAATTGTAATCCTCTTTTAATACAAGTAAAACATTTTGAATTTAAGTTGAGTGACAGCATGTGAAAATAACAAAGAGATGAGAGAAGAAAGCCTCCTTGTGCAATTTAAAATTCAAAAAAAGAAAAAGGAAAAAAGAAAGAAAATACGGGTTTAATGAATGCATTATGATGGATAAAGGGTTGCTATGCAATTCGGCCTATGGTCGCCCTTGTGAATTTAGCCTAGTGGTCTTCATCATTGTGCAGCTTATCCCAATCAAGGAAATTTTATGAAGTAAATCAATCTAAGGAGACGTGTGAAGATGTAAAATGTCAAGACTCAAGAGTGCTGAATTCTAGTCGTCTTCATTCACATAAAAGGTTCGTTTTCCAATTATGAAAAAGAAAAAGAGGAAGGCTGGCATACTAACCAACTCCAACTCATTTTGTCTCCTATATTATCATTTTGTCTTGACAATAAACTGGCAAGAAAGCAGCCATATGAAACCTACTTATAACTCCGTTTCACAATGACAACACAATCTTGGGTTTTAGCCCCTTTACAAAGTCCTCAAACGAGAAGTTGAATATTAATTCATACCTGATGCAACCTCATGAACTTCCTCATATGTGCCAGTCTTTTCATTGTAGGAATACCTGCATCAAATATCAAGAGAGTTTATAAACTGTGTATCTCAGCATAGACGTACTCCTCAAATTGTAAAAGAATACCAAACAATTCTATCCCTTGTACAAGCTGAATTATGATCAAAGCACACATGCAAACCATTAGGTTTATCTACTATACCACTACAAGGACAAAGATTTAACAAAAATTTACCCAATTTTGAAAATAACCAGTGAGCATTTTCACAATGATATACAACATCGAGGAAGATGATTTTACTAAGGTACTAGGATTTTGGACAAAGAATCAATACACACTACCTCAACCTATATAACCTTAAGTTAAAGATTGAGGGATATATTCCTCTAGGCATGAATATCTAGTGCCTGTTACAGATCGCCTTATGTTTCAATTTTCTTTTAAAAAGATGGAATGAGAGTATTTACTTTATTTGGATTTTCCTTTTTCAGAACAAACGAAAACAGAGTTATGACAACTCTTGAAAGCAAAGAAAATCATGACAAAAAAATTTTTTTCATTTATTTTGACAACCTATTGCCATAAAAAAAACCAAATTAAACCTGATCAAACCTAGCCAAATATAACTGGATAAATTCAAACTCATCTAGAATCTATGCCAAACCACACCCATTAAATAAGCCAATTGAAGGCACCCCAAACCAAAAAATTGCACTTGCCACGTTTAAAGTCGCAAAATAAACAGCAGAAACAAGCACCCAACCATGTCTTCTATTTCTCAATTTCTCTATTGAGTGATTGATGACTTGAACAAAAACTCTATAGCTTTTACATTTCAGCGTTATAATTTTAATTTTTAGTTTTTCTTTTAAATGTTTATTTCTGAAATATTTTGACAATCACATCAGACTGGCTTTGTTCATCTTCATTGAAGTCGGCATGATGCAGTAAGATTATATTATTATTATGAATATATAGAAATTATAACGGAAAAATGCATATCAGTCCTGATTTTTAAAAAAAATTGGAGTCCTAACCTTAAACTACATCGTTTTATTTAATTAAAACTCAATTTAAAATTTAAAAATTTATCTTATTAAATATTGATATTTATATTTGGAAACTGATTGGATTTTTGAATTTTGAATTAGGATTTCAGTTTTTAAATATAGGTTGGGACTCCAATTTTTTTTGGAAGTCAAGACTGATACGCGCTAATCTCTTAAATTAAACTGTAACATTTAGTTAGTATTTATGTTTATTAGGATTTATAGCAATCAATAAAGATTCCTATTAGGAGTCTAAATAGGATTTAAGTCTAATCAGGCTTTTAAGCTTTTTTTTTTGGCTGAAATTAGGCTTTTAAACTTAATTAGGATTATTTAGAGTATATGATGAACTGAATTTGTCTTCCAAAAATCTCCTATTTCTTTGTTCTCTTCTCATCTTTGCATCTTTCCTCTATTTTCCAAAATCCCTTTCTTTTGTTCTTGCTAGAATTACTACAAATTACAAACAGTTAATTCTATTTTCCATGTAAATTAGCCACATAACAATATTGCACTATTATTCACCTCACTAGGATAGGACATAGCCCAATAAAACAGTGAGACTCTACAAGCAACGAAAAATTGGGAAAAAAAGATGAATTGCAGGTAAATTTACCAAAGGCCTGATGCTGCCGAGCAATAAAGTGCTGTGGATGGGTCATAATAATATCCCAAACTGCTGCTGTAATAGTACCTGAAAGAAAAGTTTACCAAAGTAAGAATGAAGATTAACAATATATCCTACATGTATGCCTTTTTCTTATTTTTTATTTTTTTTTATCAATGCTCTCTTACACCAAAGTGGCTATCATAAGTTCGTTAGAAAAAACACACCTACATGCACTCGAGTTCGTAAGCAAAGCAATACTAATCCACGAGAGTCATTGAACAAAAATAAATTATAAAAATCATCAGTTATGTATAAAAAAGAAAATAGAACTATACGAAACAGAGTATCCAAAATGTTCTTGTGGAAACTCATGAATACACACTTCTAATTTGGTCTTAGTGAAACCACTAGACCCATTTGAAAAAGAATCCTGTGATCTGACAGTAGAAACTAATAATTCCCTCCTTTGTAAATGACTATATATTCATGGAAAGATAAGGCAACAGCTAGCTGAAAAGTTTTTCCAGGTGGCAAGCAAACTCAGTCTAACTATTAAAAGCAGCCACAAATAGTTCATAGATGGTAATCAAATAACTTCTACCGACCAGACACTTGATGCTGCAGAAGTGAATGGCAATGCCATATGTAGAAAGGAAGACTCATAGAACGGCCGAAGCAAATAAAGGTTTTGCACAATTTGTTAATCCATGAAGAGGATCTATATAGACACATAGATCCATGGATCCATACATCTCAATCAGGAGAGAAGTAATAGGGAAAAAAAAAAATTGGAATTGATCGATGGAGACACTTGACTATCAGCATGACCAAGGAAGACATGCTAAAACACTTTTCAGACAAAAGAAGAATGAAGAACTGATTTTTTATTCAATTTTAATGCAATAAAAAGCCTGAAACTTTTAACATCAACATGCACAAAGGGGGGAGAGACAGAAAGAGTCATACCCAGAAGACTCATCATAAGCATAATCATTTTGCATATCTCCGGCTGCAAATATACCAGACAAAGAAATAAGATGAGCTAGACCAAGTAAAAAATAAATTATTATTACCCCAGAAAACTTAAAAGTTCACAATCAATGAGAAAGCTTACTTTCAAGCACTGTCTTTTCAACATTTGATGATGCTTGACTGACTGCATTTAAATTAGGCTCAGATGTTGGTTTAACATCTTCTTCATCATCATCCGCAAACATATCATATGCTTCAGCATCATTATTTGAAATGTCTGCAGCAGTTGAATTTGAATGTGAGGTACCAACAGATGCATCATGGACACCAAATGAGGCTACTCCTGGATGAGTTTCTGAGAATATCTCATTTCCCAAGTTGGCATTAGAATGTTTCTCCCCAGAATCTGCAGATATGCCATTCCCTCTGACCTTAGCTAAGTTCTCATATCCTTCTGAAAAGAGGCATAATAATAGTCAAGAAGCATTACTGCCCCCACAAACATGTGCTTAGAACACAAGCAAATGGAATTCTGGACAAAACTAATTAACATGTGTGCATGTCTCAATCTTACATGGTCAGCAGAATATACATAAAGAGAAATAACCTAGAAGCATCAGATGGCCTCTTGAAAAAGTCTACAAAAAATTTGGAGAAAAATATAATATAGAAACATCACATAAGCAGTTTCAAAATATTAAATGAATATTCGTCCATGAACATGAGAATATCTACTAGGCTACAACCCATGCAATACACACCATCAAGTTCAAAAACCTAGTTTCTGTTACACATTCAAAAGATAAAAAGCACCTGTATGACATGTCAAACATGACTTTAAAAGGGAAGGAATCCTACAATACTCTCAATAATAATCATTTCAAGAACTTTGATAAAGAACAACAGCATTTTCTACTACACTATTCTGCATGATTCCATTTCTAAAGATTGCACTAACCTGCCTCACGCTCAAAAACCTCCTGTCTCTCATGATACACATCTGCATAAAAAACATTCAAACTAATAAGCAACAACAGTACTTCTTAAAAATTGAGATGAGAAAAAAAAAAGTAGAGCACAAATTGACTGAAAAAAAGAGAGCAGAAATTGGCTTCAAAAAGGAAATGGAACTTCTCATGGTGACATTGCCCAACTCAACTAAGCCTTGACCTTAAAATATGTTTGTTTGCTAAATGAATGAAACAAATTCTTCCATGGTTCCGTGAGTCATACTCTTCAAATGACATGACCCCACAGTCATTTGCATTAATGGATAATTTAGACATAGCATACCTCTTTGTTCTTCTTTGATTGGAGAGGTGGATAGTATTAAGGTGGGGTATATGACACTTGTTCTAAATCTAAATGAGCTAGAAGAAGGCAGCAAACTTAACTGTATTCACCATTTTCCATCAACTTCATAGCATCCTCAGTTAGCTGGTCAAACACATGCTTTGTTTCAGCAGACATTTTCTCCTTCCTGTTATTTGAAGTTCCCTTCAATCTTCTCAAACCTTGTAGAACCTGTCAGGAGAGTTAAAAGTTAACTCTATAATATGATTAATATCCCTGTGTAACATGTAATAGATATGATGAAGAAGGGCAAAATTTGATTTCTGCCGCAATATGCTTATGATAAAATCAAATGATGCAAGATGCATCTGGAAAGGAAAACTGTAACAGATGATGTAACTTTAGGAAATGTTAGAATTGTGCAATAGCATGTAAAAATGAAATTGAGCTGTGAATAGATTTGAAAGATTGTGGAGCAATTATGTATGTATTTAAAATTTGGGAGGAATCACCAATAAATAAGGAAAACATGTGAATGTGTGCATTAATTAACTGGAAGAAGTTCTCTACAACTTATGGTCCCTTGCTACAAGTTTATGCCCAAAATGTGGACAAAGTAACAAGAAACTAAAAAATTAAACAGCATAAAATGAAATTTTCTGTATTAACTAAGAATCTTTCCTGCATCCTGATCTGCATTATTCCTGCATCCTGATCTGCATTATGTGCATCACCCCTAACCCCCATGAGCATCAATTTGAAACTAAAATTAAGACAATTAAAAGAACTGCCTTAGTGCTCAAAAATAATAAAGTAAGTCACAATGAAGTTACTGTTTCTCCAGGCTCAAGCACATTGGCAATACGCCTCTTTATCACTCCAATGTCTTCAGCTGAAAGGTCCTGTGTAGCATCTTCATGGTTGTCTTCATTGTTTGATACTTTGAATACTGTTCCAGCAACTTTTGACTCAGCTTCAACACTATCAAGCCATGCATCCTGCAACAAATCCATTTTAAAGCTATAAGGAAAATTCTACAATTAGAGAACTCATTTCTTCATTTAGAAGATTCAAAATGATGGAACACTTTACCTTGAGATCATCTTCATTGACATATTCAACGAAGTTTCCTCCTTCATCAAAATAACCTTCTTCCCTTTCTTTGTTAAGATTGAAAGGTTCCATTTGAATCCCATCCTCAACAAAATTCTCATTATCCTGCTCCAGTGCATAGACAACTGATTAATCTTGCAACAACATGACCTTCAAAGGTGTTCTTGATTTAGGGAAGAAACATTCTACACAGTAACTCAATCAATTAACAAAGCATTACACTAGGCACCAGATACAACATACATGATATGAAAGTAGACAATGTAAAATCCAGTACTTGAAACATCTCAAAACAACAACACAACTAATGATAATAAATTTTCTTTCAATCAAAATAAAGCAGAGCTTGCTTTCAATCTTTTGTGATGGCCATGTACACCACCTGGAAAAAAGCATAGAACTAAAGGACCTGTGTCTTCAATCCCAAAAACAGAAAGCAAGATAAAGTCAGTTTCTATTTCTAAAAGCACTGGGACAGCAACAAGCATCAATACCTCAGCTAACGTTTAAGGCACATGAACACACAACACAATTGACTTCTTGCAAAGTCATGCCATATTCATATTTAAAGGTCAGACATAACTCATGAAGCATAATAAAAGTAAAGTGTAAAATTAAAGAATGCCACTTTTATGAAAGTTTCAAGACAAGGCATTTTATGGGGAAAAAAAATCTCATTGATAAAAGAATAAGAAAAAAACCTCATACGCGACTTCAGCAGTAGTGATCTCAACTTCTTCAGTTTCAAGATTGGATTGCCTGCGATGTCTAGCACGTTCCTTAGCAGCAAGCCGGGGATCTGTCAACTTACTTGAACCAACTTCAGCATTATGCTGTTCCCCTGGCTTCAGCTTCTTGCCCTTAGGAAATCTCACCCTCTTCTTCCTGTAAATCCAAAGTTTGAAATCAAAATGAAACCTAACAAAGATATCCTGTTGCTTATTGTAGACTAAAGAAACAAAAAGTACCTCCCTACCTAGCCCAAAAACAGAGCAGGCCAAAAAACTCAGTGACCCAAAAAAAAAAAAACCCTAGCTGCCATATCCACATTGAGCAGTGAAAATTCAACACAATAAAAAATAATTTTCCCGAGAATCAAATGGCACATAGAGCAAAAAAGAGAAAATAACGAGTTGAAAGGCTTGCATCTACAGAACAATCAAGGGATAGAAAACTTGAAGAAAAACAAAAAAGCGGTAGGGTTTTCAGAGAGGGGAAAACGAAAGATTACGCAGGTTGTTTGTTGTCGCCGTCGTCTTCATCTTCGATAAACCGGCGTTTAAGATGAGCACGAGATGTTTTGGACTCCATTTTGCAGGTTTCGTTCGGTATTACGGTTTCTGGTGTGGAAGAAAATGGAGCGGTTTTGGAAGAAGAAAGAAGAAGCGTTGCCGACTCACTGAGTCGGGTCTCATGCGGATGGATGTTCGAATCTAGTAACAGTTAATTTTAATTGCGTGAAAGACTTCAAAAAATTGTGAGAAAGATTTGAGTAATATTAATATTCGTTATGAAATTCTTTAAATATTTTTAAAGATTTATAGCTCACTATTTTGTTTTGGGAAAATAGAGCACAAGAAAAGGCATGGGAGGGGAAGTAGATATATCTCAACCAATTAAATGGTGTTATTAAGCCATTGAAATATGATTATAACCGACTTTTATAAATTTGAACTATAGGTAAATTTATTTTGATTTTAGATTTTTTTTTTTATTAACCTTTCATATTCGTAAACATTGGATCACAATTAATTTAAAATCGAGCCGCGTCAAATCTTATTTGAGAAAAGCTCTCTCAATTTATTTTTCCATTCACAATACTCAAATTCAAAATTTTACTTAAAAGGAACTGATCTCTTTCTACTCAAATCAACAAATCATTGACTTGATTTTAGATTTTGATTAGCTTAAGTACATCGGTTGAACTATACAATTTGATTAGATGATATCATATATATATCTTATATAATTATATGTAATAAAAAAAGATATTTTGTAAGGTAAGCATAACAACACCTAACAGGTGGATAATAAATAAGAGTGCTCTTTGTAATGTTCGGTAAATTCAGGGCTTGAAACACTTTATTGCCAATTTTACACCTTTATATATTATTTAAATTATAATAAATATAATTTTTACACAACCCATCAATTAATAGTCATGTAGACATATTGGCGAAGCACTTCCTCTTATTCTTAAAAAATGAATTGGGAGTGGCGGAACAAGAATTCTACGTAGAGTAGTACCTTATCACAATTTGACTAAAATTGTCAATTTTTTAGTAGTGACCTTATTGTGCTTATTTAGAAAAATGAATATTTCAAATTAATAATAAAAAATAAATAAAAATAAGTAATAAATAATGATAATTATTAGTATGTTTTTTTTACTCATTTACTAGTTTCCAAAGTAATTGTTTAGGGTTGTCACGCCTATAGTCTTTTATCATTGTTAGTAATTCTTCAAAAAATAGGTAAGTTAAAAAAACTAATGAGTTGTCCAATAATTACATGTTAGACAATGACTTATTTTGAAAGATTTTAGAAAAGTTAACGAACTCATTTTTATGGTATAATTGTTTGTACTATGAATTTATTATTTGATAATTATTTTTTATTTATGCTTAAGAATTTGAATAAATTAAAGAGCATTATTTCTCAAATAATATACAAATTTATTTTTTCTTAAGTCCTAGATAATGTCCATTTTATTAAGATTAATTGTGTTACTGTAATTTGATTTCTTGGTGGTTGCTATATGTGCACCAATTTGGATATTTTGCATTTGTCAGCAAATTCTCCAAGGCTTAGTACTAATAGTATGCTGGAATAGGAAAATGAAGATGGACATAAGGGAGACAGAAAGAGAGTGTATTTTAAGATTTTAATTTTTTTAATATTCTAAAATTATTAATTACACTAGATAAACCACCAATGAAGTTTTTTTTGTAAATAATTTTCACATAATGGAATATTAAAATCTACTAATGGGCCAAAAAATCTCGGAATTGAACACCTTAGTTAAGAGCAATTAAAGTTTGTCCCTTTAAGTATTAAATTGATGAAACTTAGTATATTACTTAGCTATTTATATCAATTACCAAGATAAGGCCTTCCCTCTTTCAGCTTACTTTTTCTTAATAATTTTAGGGGGAAGGGTAGGGCCTGTGCCCAATGCTTCCCCTTTGTAGTTCCGCCATTGTGAATTGGTCAATTCATTTGGTAGTTAGTTTTTTAAGTTTTTTGGTTATATTGATATTATTTAAGTCAACTCCACAAATAAGTTTATATAATTATTGAATTGAATTTTTAACCAAACACAGTTAAACTGAATTGACTAGCCAAGCTGAGTTTAAAAACACTGATTATAACAATCTTTCGTCCTCTCCTTTATCATTTCTTTAAATCCACTTGGTTATTAATTTTTGCATGTTGAGTCTTTAAAGGTATTTTTTTTAATTGTTATTTATAATATGACATTTTAATTAGTAAGACTTTTTGATTTTCTATAATTTCACTAATCTGAAAAAAAAAAAAAAAAAGTTAGACTGCTCTAACAGTTAAAATGTCAAGATTACCTGTTAAAATTTTTATTTAAGTTATTTAAGTATTTTCATTATTATTTGGTTAAAATTTAGTTCCTAAATTTTTGTATGAAGTCTTTTTTTGGGTTTTAAATTTAAGAAATTTCCTTTTTAGTCCCTTAAGTTTAATTTTCAACCCTTTTTTAGTACTTATGTCAAGGTTTTATCAATGTTTCGAAACCTTAATCAGTGATAAAACTGTTTTGCTCATTGGTCCCCAATTTCGATGTTCTGATCAATTTAATTGGCTAGCCAGCCAAGTTAAATAAGAATAGATGTATTTTTTATGATTATGCTATATTTCACATTTTTCTTACAAATTTCAGTCTTATATAGCAATTTTTCAATATAAATTGAGCTTAAATATGCAAATTCACATAATAATATCATAAGCAAGTTTCAAAGCCTAATATATATAAAAAAACAAGTTTAAAACTAAGTAGATACATAAGAATATTGTAATACGAGTTTCAAAATTAACAACTCTTATCTATATATATATATGAAAAATAAGTCTTAAAAGCTCAAATCAATATGGAAATGATGCATAAATTGAATTAGTTCATTGTTATTCCCTTATATGCGGAGGATCTTCATTTAACTGAACATCATATTAACAAAAATTATTATCACTATCATAATTAGCATCATTTTCATTTTCTTCACCAATTGGCTCCAAGTCAATTTCTCTACTTGCACTACTAATATAGAACGATCCTCCATCACATTATACTACATCATTAATGTCATCTGTGTTACCTTAAAAGTTGAAAAGTGAAAACATGTTCTAAATAAACATTAATAAAATAAATCATAATTAATACTTAACTCACATAATCAACAAGCTTATTCACAAAATGATAAACTAACATAATACAATTAAAATCAAAACATCATTTTTAAAGCTTTAATTAATATTGACCTTACTTTTGAGTTGTATGACATATTGGTATTGTTTTATCATTATAAATCATATTCTCCAATTCATCATAATTAATAATTGGAAAATCATCTTTTCCGTGACCCACTTCTCAACATTGTCTATACTTTTATAATCAGTAGGATCAAAACAAATTTTCCTTTTGTTATCATTTTTATTACTCAAGATAAAAATAAAAGTTCCATAAAAAATTAAAAATAGAAGAATACATAAACAATAAGAAATAAAACTTTACAAATAAAGTAAATTATTATATAAGAGGATGATATAATTTTTACAATTCAACAACAAAAAAAAAAAATCATTAGAGCAGCTCAAACCCAAAATGAATTCAATTTTGAATCATCATTCAATTAAAAAAACAATTCTAATAATTGACAAGTTAAAATAAAACATGTATTAATTACTAAAACTTTTTTTTATAACTATCACTAAATGAAAATTACCAACAGGATTTTACAAACTTAAAAGAAATACAAAACTCAAGTGAAAAATAAAAGCACTTGGGAGATTTTTGCTACTAGGGTCTTTTGGTGTTGTTTGAAGCATGATATATGCATAGGAATATATATACATATATTAATTGGGTTTCAATAGGTAGAAGTGACCAAGAGGCGTAGGAAGAGTTGTTTCTTTGGTTAGGAACCAAATTAATTAAATGGAGTATGTTGTAATCTTGTTTACTTATTGATGTGGTATAGGTTTTAAATCACCTCAAGTGCCTTGAGTTATTGAATTCCTTACTTGTTGTATACCTACAAGGTGAGGTAAGTAAAGTTATGGTAAATGCCCTTAGATTTTAATGTAAAGATTTTAAAAGTATATTTTGAACTATTTTGAGATGGTGGCAGAATCTAAACTGATTTTTATTAACACATGAGCATGATCGGTTTGAAATGAAGTTATTATTTTTATTGAGTTAAGTATGCCTACAAGGAGTTTACTTGATTGTCTTAATGATTTGAAATTTTATTTGTAAGTTATGAATTTTCCTGTTAACTCTTGCATATTTGTAAATTATAAATTTTCCTATTAACTCCTACATATTTGTAAATTATGAACTTTCCTGTTAACTCTTGCATATTTGTAAATTATG